CCAGTGCGTTTGTTTTAAGAAAGGTTCTGCGTCATCTTATCGGGACAACATCAGTTAGTAAGTGGGCTTCTTCATCAGCATGTTCGTCAGCGACAACTCTATCATCAGCTCGTAAGAGGGCATCTTCATCACCAGCTTCGGTTTTATCATCGCCGTCATCATCATCATCATCATCATCATCATTATTATCATCATCATCATTATCATCATCATCATCATCATCATCATCATCGTCATCATCATCATCTCACCATCATCATTGTCATCATCAACATCATCATCATCAACATCATCATCATCATCAGCAAGCGGCAGCAGCACTACTGACATCATCATCATCATCATCATCATCACCATTATGAGCATCATCATCATTGGTGCGTCATCATCATCATCATCATCATCATTATCATCATCATTATGAGCACCATCATCATTGGTGCGTCATCATCATCATCATCATCATCATCAACATCAACATTTTATTTCCTATTTTATTAATCGGGAAGGTATTTTTTAAATACCTAGATTTCTTATTAATGTACGTTTCGATATGGTATTTTTGAATACCAAATTCTAATTCATTTTAGATTAATTTTTCCTTGTTTACTTCTTCATATTTCATAGTTCTCTATGAATAAGATTTTCATAATCCTATTGCATTATTAACTGATTATCTTCAACTCAAAAAAAAAAAAAAGAATTGTTTCAGTAGTAATTTCGTTGGTGATCTTGCTAAGTTATGTTTCAATCATATGGGCCAAAGTGTTTGTATTTTGCATAGTTTTGCTATATATGATTTCTATGTATTTTTATATGATCTCTATGTATCTTTTTGTCAATGAGTTTGGGAACAGCCATTACTGTTCGATACCTAGATATCTGTTCGTGGTACGGGTGGAAAGGTGGGGAGAGCAGTACTCTGCAGGGGTGTCACAAGGAGGGAGGTGGCGCTCTGAAGAGGGTGTGTGCAGAAGTTGAGGGTTGCTCTATTCTGGGGTTGGGGTGGATAGCCTCAGTGGGGGCAAAATAGGGTAAGGGGTTTGCAGGGGCATTCTTCTGGTGGGAGCTGAATGTCTCTTGAATTATAGTGAGGAAGAGAGGGGCTGTTCCAATTTGGGGCGGAAAAGGAGGTCCTATATTAGAGGACTGTTTTCGGCGGAGGCAACAAAGGGACAGAGGGGTAATGAGTAGAGGAGGGAGGGGAGGAGACTTTCAAAGTTTAAATTAACGTATCTTTATTCACAAAAAAAAAAAAAGAATTTCACAGTCTTCATTGATGCTATATCAAGCTTTTTGGTGTTCGGTAATTCTTGGCGGCATCTGGCCTTCTTCCTCGTTCGGGACATAGGATTTCAGAGATGGTCGATTCTGGACTGATTTCCGCAGAGTTGCTCTGTTCTATGCCTCTGGTTTGCCGATGCCAACGACGCTGGCCAGAGCTGGGGTGTTGCCCTGTAATCTGCAAATTGCAGGAGTGTGAGGCCTTGTAGAGAGATCTGGGTTTTGCTGAGGGAGGAAAGCAATTCAGTGGYGAACTGGGGGGGGCTGCCTTGACAACCTATGGGTCCAGGGATAGTCTAGGTGGCGAGAACAGGTCAACTATGGTTGACATTGGTTAGGATGGCATTGTCTTTGAGATGTAATGTCCTGGTACAGGGAGGGTTAGGAGTTGTTATAGGATTAGGAGGCTAGAATTGCTGATGTAGCATAGTCTTCTATAATTTTACATACTAATCATCATCATCATCATTATTTTCATTAAAAAAAAAAAAAAAATTCATAATCATCATACTCATCATCATCATCATCATCGTCATCACATCACCAGTATCATCAGCTGATTATTGTTATATTAAGCTTTTTGGTGTTATGAAATTTTGGCAGCATCTAGCATTCTTCCACATCCGGGATATAGGACTTCAGAGATGGTTGAACCTGGACTCATATCTACTGAGTTGCTCTGTTCTGTGCCCTTGGTTTACCGATGCCAGAACGACGCTGGCCGGAGCTGGGGCGTTGCACTGTAACCTGTAAATGGCAGGAGTGTGAGGCCTTGTAGAGAGATCTGGGGCTTGCTGAGGGTGGAAGGCATTCCAGTGGTGAACTGGGGGGGGCTGCAAGGAGGCGAGAAGAGATCAGCTATGGTTGATGTTGGTTAGGTTGGTTTTGTCTCCGAGGTACAGTTGTACTAGGATTAGGAGGCCAAAATAACTGATATAGCATAATATTCGATATTTTTTCATATATTTGAATCATCATTTTCATTAGTATCATTATCATCATGGTCATCATCATATCCATTTGAGGGATGCTGAGCCCGGTTCTCAGTAGTTTCGGTTTGATCACTCCGGGCAAACTGTGAGGACCCCGACCTCAATCTTATTATTGGTAAAAAAAAATAAAAAAAATAAAAAAAATAAAAAAAATTATAATGCTGATGATACTAATGATGCCAGTGATGACAAAGAAATGTAGCTACACATGCTAAGTCAGCCATACTGGACTCCTAATCCTGAACAACTCCAAGCCCTCCTTACCAGGATATTGCAACTCTAGGACAAGACAAACCTATCCCCCCACTGCCATAGCTGATCTCTCCTCACTACCCAGACTAACCCCACCCCATAGGTTGTCAAGGTAGCCCCTCCTGGTTCACCATTGGCTTGCTTTCCTTCCTCAGCAAACCCCAACTCTCTCTACAAGGCCTCCCACCCCTGCTATTTACAAGTTACAGGGCTATGCCCCAGCTCCGGCCAGGTTGTTTTGGCATCGGCAATCCAGGAGCACAAAACAAAGCAACTTCAGTAGTTATCAGTCTAGGTTCGACGATCCCTGAATTCCTATATCCCAAATAGAGAAAAAGACCAGGTGCTGCCAAGATTGTAGAGCAGCAGGTGGCTGGTGTTGAAGTATTGAACTGTATTGAAATTATCAGATCTTTTTTTGACGCATCGAGTTCATTAGATCGTGAAAAGGATATGCTTCCATTGGTCACAACTCAAACCAATCCATACCCACTGTACCCTGTCTCATGCTGCCTCCACCGAGGAAAATCCCTCGGCCCCAACATAAAACAGATCCCCTCCCTTCCCTCCACCATATCCGTGAAGGCAACCAATCCCCTCCTAGAGGCTGCCTTTGCCCACCCCTTGTCCCTGTCTGCCCCCGTTGGGGATGAAGGCGACCAACTCTCCAACCCCGGCCCCAGACTCAGACAATCCCCAATCTGCCCTACTCCCAATCGGGCTACTGCCTCCCACCATGCAACACCCCTGTAGAATAAGGCTCCCCTGTAACAGACCCAGGGTTAATTTTTTGGGGACAGCTAACTAGTAGTCTATACCCACAACTGGCCAGCCCTATCTCTCCTTCCCCTAGCTTTCCCAAGGCCAGGCGGAGCCCAGGCTGACAGTCCTACCGTCCTTCCCCTGGCTTGTCCCCTAACTTAGGCCAGACGGATCTCAGACCTGCTGTCGGGAACTACCGTAGGTCTCAAAACCCCCCTGCCTACCAAAATTCCAGCCGTAACCTCCGAAGTCCTATCCCTACTAAAGTGTTTGCAAAATTCAATGTTCAAAATCCCCAATTAGGAGAAGGAAACTCATGAAAAAACAAAATAAAGAAAATTCTCCTCAAGAAGTAAGTAATCAAGAAGTAGGTAATCGGGATATAGGTAATCAAAGTATAGGTAATCTAGATGTAGGTAATCAGGATATCGCTGCTCAGGATGTAAACATTAATGACTATTGGATAATTGGGTAGCGGAAAATGGTACCCTGAGACTGAAAGTTTTCAGATGATTTTAGTATTGATGATGGTAGTGATGATGATGGAAGTGTTATGGATGAATATTTGAGTGAAGCAAACCTAAAGATAGTAGTGGCGATCAACTTCGCCTACAGATGAATTACGACTAATGAAAAAATGTGATGAGGGTGAGCATGCTAATGAAGCTGCCCAAAAGAAATATTAATTGCTGACCTAAAATGAGGATGATAGTGTTGATGATCATGATACTGCAGATGGTAAAAGTCACTATGGTAATAACTAAACACCCATAGGGCTGCAATGATGATGAGGATGTCAACTAATTATCCATTGTATTGATGGCGATTGTCTTACCGCGAGTGATGATGACTAGTAATCTTGATGGCGACTTGCTGATAGTGCAKCGCCCGACACACTCGAATTTCATGGCGCGCACTAGATCTTCGATATCTCATAATCCGCTGGACCATTTGATCTGAAATTTGGACCACCTCAGCTCCTCGCCATAGACCACCAGTGGTCCAATTTTCAGCTAAGGGCGCGCACCCAATCGCGCGCAATCGTCGAGCGCGCACGCGCTATTTCCCTTGTTGCGTGCAGTTTTCTAACGCCCGCGGCTTCTCTTCGTGGCGGTAACCTTGATTGATGATTGTTAAAATGGTGACGATGATGACTGGTGACTATGATTTCAATGATGATGATAATGATGATGATGATGATGATGATGCTGATTCTAATGATGACAATGATGATGATGATGAATAGTGCCGACGAGAGTCAACTTCCGATGGGAGAGATCACGATGAAAGTAAATGATGATGATGATGATGATAATGATGACGATGATAACTGATGAGTACGATCAAGATGATGAAATTGCTAATAACGCGCCCTGTGGTGATGCACTAATGATGGTGATAATAGGGATGGGCAACGCCCTAGCACCCTGAAATAGTAAAATATGGATGAGGTGCTTGCACGCTAGCCAACTTACCTTTTTTTCCAATACTAGTAACGGAATATTACAGACAAGTTGCTCGCGGCCCCAGTTACCGCCTTAATGATGGTGAAGAGCATCACCCTGATGATATTGGTGGCGACGGTGAGCAGCCCGAGGACGTTTCCCTATGGTCTGCCCGCGGTCATTTTCATATGAAGATATGCAGCCGTGGGCGGGGGTGTCCATGGTCCAGCGTCCAGTGTCCGTGTGGAGACGGCCTGGTCCAGTGATGTCCGGCGGAAAAGGGCATGAGGCAGGCCACAAAAAATAAAATAAAAAAAGGGAACCTCTATGTTTAAAATTCAAAATCTGAAGTACAGCTGTGGCGACGACGACGATATTCGGCTTGCAGCGTGCAAACGGTGCAGGGCTGAATCGGCCTTAGCGGCGGTGTCCCTTCCGCCCACCTCCCGGTCAGTGTACGTGCGTGCACTAGGTGCGTCCATCACCGTCGAGCTTCTCCTCCACATCGTCCGTGCCGTCACACTCTGTTCCGCCAGGGGGACGACATCCACGGAAAGGCGGCAGCTTCTCGGACCTCTCCTCGGGGGGTGAGCGGGTTACGTCTCTGGGGTGCGAGGATTGAGACGACAGCAGAGAGACATTATCCCTGTGGAGGTCGTGGCGATGGAGGTGGTGGAGAGGGCGAACCTGCGCTGTTGACTCCGCTTGAGCGGGCAGCCGTGGCAACGGCCGTGTCAACCGTTACTCTTCGTTGTCAGCAGGAGAGGGTGCTGGGACAAATGAAGGAGCAGTTGTGTGCGTGTAGAAGAAGGACGCTGGGGCAAGCTGCGGATGATAGCCCCGACGACGTGGCAACTTTGGAGGCTGTCATTGAGCTGTGCTCGACGTTGGGTTGCGGCGTCATTCCACGAGCGACACGGAGGTGGTGGATCAAACGCAGGATAGGGGGGACATGGGAAGACCTTCGACAGTGCGACAATGCCGTGGATGACTACTTCGACGAGAAGCAGCACAGCGCCGAGGAGCAGCAGAGGGACCACCAGAAGCAGCACAATGATGAGGAGCAGCAGAGGGAGCCTGCGGTACAGGTCGGCCATGAACTGCATGGTGGAGAGGGCAGCAATGAGCACACGACGGCGGAGAAGGCAAGAGTCTTATCGGACGTGCAGCATGTGACGACATGCATGGGAATGCGACGCTTGTGAAGAAACCTCTTATGTGGATGGACTAAAGGCGCCACCGGAAGAAAAAAACAAATTCCCACCGTTGATGCCGGCCGAAAACGACGATGCCGCCCGATGGAGGCCCACCGCCAACAGTAGCCGTTTGGGGGCGTTGGGGGACTACGCATACATTCCTTGAGCGCGCGAGACCGCATGATGCCGGTCGAAAACGACGACGCCACCCGATGGAGGCCCACCGCCAACAGTAGCCGTTGGGGGACGTTGGGGGACTACGCAGACGTTGGAGGGCGGGGATGTCCGTGCTAACGCCGCTGCACCACATCTGGACCACCCAAGAACCAAAACTCTTCGTCGACACATGTCAGACTCTTCACCACTCGGTGAATCACGGTTCCTTGAGCTCCAAGGGACCTCGATGAGGAAATTTTGGCTGGGGCCACAAGGATGCCACAAGGAATTTTCCTTGTGGCGTTTTCACATTTCTTTTTCAATTTCGTCCCCAAGGACAGGTGGAACGAGCGCGTCCTTGTGGATTTCACGTCCCCGAGGAGTGTCTAACGACGCCCAAAGAAGGAAATCAGGAAATTCAGTAAGGACTGGCTGGGGAGAGAGAAAGGGGGGTGGATCACATCAGTAAGGTGGGAGGGAGAACAAGATGGAGGAACAGGTCAGGAAGGACTACAAGATAATCTTCCACGACTGGACAAGGTCGAAGGTACAGGTGGTTTAATAACAGTATTAATTAAGGGGGCAGTGGGACCATCTCCTCTATCCTTATTTTCCCCACATGGGCGGTCACGTGTGGATCAGCGATGGTTAGGCAACACATGAACATTCCCAGACAATCGGAGACAGGTGAGCGAGGGGGCAACTCAACAAATCATACTAGCCAGAGATGCTACTTCCTACTAGTATCAGGGCACGCTCACACTGCGGTACCAAATCCGCATAATCTCCAGAGTCCCGAAAGAAAAAGTGTCGAGGGATAGCCACACCAGGATCTCGTTTCCCCAAACTACTTATTTGTGACCTCATTTTGTCCGTGGCCTGAGGGGCCGTGGGAGTTGGGAATTTGTGGTAACCTCGGGAGGTTACCGCAAATTCCCTTTCTTGTTCAGAATCAACCTGCGGAAATGGAAACAAATTCGAAGGCGAACATATTGCCAGCAAATGCGATCTCGCAGTGTGACTGGAGCAGCCGAAGAGGACCCAAAATCCAGGCGACCGCAACCTTGTCGGTTGCGACATGGGGAAGCCTTGTGACCGGTCCAGCCACTATTTTTCCAAATTGGGCATCCCATTTTTTAAAGAAAATACGATTTTGGGTATGGAGTGTGAGCATGCCCTCAGGCGGTCTGCTAGCAGGCTGAAGAGGCAGTTAAATAATCCCATGCAGGATCTTGATTCTGAGTAGATACTCTTGGATTCTGGGAATAAAGCATGCGTACACTGGGACGCTGGGCCTGGTTTCCAGCAGGTGTCGTGGGGGGCTCATATCACCCACAATAATAGACCCCGCGGACATCTAAAGTGGTGGCGCGCCCTGGTAGTTCAGGCAAAATTGCATTTATCATGGACGCTGGACCCGGTTCTCACCCTGTGCAGCTTCCTGCCAATGGATTTGAGCCATCATGATGTATGAAGGGAAACAGGAAATTTAAAGAGGATGAAATCATCATGATCATCTATTCCGACTATTCGGTGAAAAGTTTCATTTACCTGTATTCTTCAGTTCTCACAACTTCTCAGAAGTCCTGACCACTGATTCCAAAGATCAATGACCAGAACTTCAGAGTCCAGGCAATTTAAAGATCATCCCAGGTGTTTTCTCCCCCATTTTTTCCTTTCTTTTCGAAAACAAAAACACCCGCGGGCCCCAACTGCTGGGCAACGGGTTCAGCGTCCCATCGCAAACATCCTTGGAATTTGGAAAAAATCATCCCCTAGAGGGTTTCCCCTATTGAGACGGCTCGGACTCCAATCGATTGGTTGGGAGTTGCACCAGCTGGAAAACGGGTGCAGCGTCCCATCGTAAACATCATTGGAGCCAACAAAATTGTATGTGTGCAGCATTGATTGGCCGCATTCAGATTGAATTTTCCTCTTAAACCAGCTGGAAAACGGGTCCAGCGTCCCATCGTAAACGTCATTGGAACCAAGAAATTGTATGTGTGGAGCATTGATTGGCCGCGTTCAGATTCCTCCTAAATTGCAGCCTGCTCTAGGATCCGACCGACAACTAAAGAGTTAGATGTGTGTGGCGCTGCGAAACAGGTAAAGTGCAAATTTATGACTAAGGGCGATCCTTACAGTTATTCAACCACCTGTACCTCCAAAAGTCACGGCGGTTAACAAGCTGCGTGGCGGCTCACTCACCACCGGGGGGATAGAGACCTCGCGAAAAGGACTGTGCCTCAAAAAAAATAAACCTGGTCCAATGATTAATGAATGGGCCACTATCGGAGCGCCCAAAGTCATCTGACTAGAAAGCCTTCTACTCTATTTTTTCCCGTGGCCAATGTACGGAGAAAAAGACTGGCGGTTTAAATATGTTAGGTGCACGTGATGAGGCCCTCAGTAGGGCTAAATAAATGCTAGGGACAGGCCACAATGAAATGACCATCCAGTTTCTCAGCACGTCCTTTCGTAGCCTGCTTTAGGATCCGACGTACAACAAAAGAGTCAGACCTGGGTGGCACTACAGAACAGGTTTAACTTAGTGCAAATTAATCACTAACTTAAAGGGCGATCCATAGGGTTTACTAAATATGTTAGATGCAAGAAATGAGGCCCTGAGTAGGGCTAAATAAATGCCAGGGACATCACACATGAAATGACAATGCAGTTTCTCCCTTTTTTCTTTTTTTTGATAAGACCGAACTTCAGCTCCGTCGAGAAAGTGAGCAGCTTCCCATAGTAAGCCTACTGCTGGCTGCTCCGATCTATTCTCAGCACGTCCTTTTTCAAGTTTCCATGCCTGCCTTTGGCCTGTCCATTCTCTCTCTCTCTCTCTCTCTCTCTCTCTCTCTCTCTCTCTCTCTTTTTTTTTTTTTTTTTTTTTTTTTTTTTTTNTTTTTTTTTTTTTTTTTTTTTTTTTTTTTTTTTTCACCCTGCCAGAATGAACTGTGAACTGTACTCGAAGAGTAACAGGGAGTTCTTGTTTATAAGAAAAAGGTAAAAAAGAAAGGAGGTGGAAGTTGTTAGAGGTAACAGGGCGGCCACATCACGGTGACCTTGCAGGCCATTTGCTTCGCGGCAAGTGGACTATTAATTTGCATCAATTCCAATGGTTTTTTTTTTGGGTACCAATTCCAATGTTGTATAGATGAATTCTGGAACATGGGCGGAACATTCGTTTTCAACCATTTCCTCTCTTTCTTTCTTTTTCTTTTCTTCGGGTGATTCCTCTGTCGTTTGGTTTGTCATAAACATAATGATGAGAGTGGCAGTTATCTACTGTGAATGTATAAAGTGAATAAACGACAAGAATGATAGATTGCATGTCACCTTGGTGGAAATCCGGAGCTGCGGCTGAGGTGTTGTTCAAGAAGGTTCAATACAGTACAAGGGCAGGCTCACACCACCGTCTTCACCCGTAAAGAATGCCCCGTCATCATAGCTGTAGTTGCCAGTTGGTCCCCCTTCAGTCTTGATACAGGGATAATGACTGAGGATTGAATTCGGGTGAAGAGGGTAGTATGTTCCCAATCCTTTCCATGGTGCTGAAGGATCACACTCAGGGCCTTGTTAGACACTCCTCAGGCCGTCCTCGGGTTCCGAGGACAAATCCTCGGGGGAATTTGTGATTTTCGGATGCGTCATTCCACCTGTCCTCGGGGAGTCGCTCCGAGGACGGATCCTCGGGGCCCTCCCCCGGCTCGTTTCATACGATTATACGCACCGCGCGTGGTTTGTCCGTCTTCAGACTTCGAATGTCCGCTGAGGAGGCGTGCTACAGTGCTGGTCCAGAAGGCCGATACCGTGAAGAGATGAGGGGCGTCTGAAAAAAAAAGGAAACTGCGTGAACAGGCCGGTTCGAAATTCAAATTTCGAAATGCTGGCGGATGGAAGACGGAGAGGCAGCGGACGGGCGGGTCATCGAAGGGGCAGTGCGCTGAGCGCAGTCTTGGCGATTCCACTACGGATTGGCCATGTGCACGCGTACTTGAGTGACAACGCCGACTGCCAGCTGCTCGTGGAGGCTTACGCACGGGAAGACGGACATGACATTAAGAGGGGATGAGACGTGACGACTCGTGGCAAGTTCCAACAGCAGCGCTGGTCGGCGGAGGCGTGTGACGTTGAAATTCATCGTGCATGGCAGGCCGTCAAAACGCTCAGTGGGGGTGACGTCTGTTGCGGTGCCAAAGGTGTGGATGGCGGGTTGGTGGTGGACCTGCGTGTTGGTGTTGGGGGAGTGAGATGGAGGGCTTTCCTCCCCATGGCAAAGCACAGTTGATGCCCACTGAGAAGACAGCTGTCAGTGCCTGTCACCCCTGCGGTGCTGGTCGTTGTCATCCGCAACCAGGTGGAGAGAGCCGCAGGGTGCATGACGGCGACGATTTCGAGGCAGAGGCAGATGCTATTGGTGCAGAGGCCCGAGGGTGGTCGACGCTCCGGATTGTGTGAGGACTTCCGAGTCCGTCGTTCAAATATGTGCAGCAATCGGGTGCGAAATGCTCCCTCGGGCGATGCCACGGTGGTGGATGAAGCGAAGAACGGGTGGGACTTGGGGAGATTTGCGAGTGTGCGATGATGCCACGGACTAGTACCTCCGGGAGAAGCTTCGCATGCCACGCAGATATTTCACGGAGATTACGTAGGAGTGTGCACCTTATCTGCAACGACGAGCGACTATGTGACACCCGCGGCCGCGGCCAGGAGGCCCAGTTGGCGGCCTGGTTTTTTGGATTTTTTTTTAGGGTAAAAAAATATGTGAATTTTTTTTTTTTCCGGGTTGTACGGTTTGCAACTTTGCAAAACCCTACAACCCCATTTTTGTTTTCTTTGAAGTCGACTTCATTTACTAATCTAAAAAAATGCAGAACAAAAATCGGTTAAATAGAAAAAAAATAAAAATAAATAAA